GTGTGCTGACAATTGATAACTAAAAGTTTCGTCTTTTTGGCGAACTGAAGAGTTTGCAAAGGAGCCGGGCGTGCAGGGGCATCCCGGTGAGCATCACAAGCGTGTCTATTGACCTGCTCTGACGCTCACTCCGGTGCCGCTTCTTCTACTCCAGCATACGTTAGCTAGCAATTCCTCCCTTTGCTCTCCTTCTCTGTCCTTTAATCATGCTAAATTTTAAGAACATAGTACTACACGTCAAGGGATGTGTGATGCATGCATATTATTATTTTTCCATTTTGATCTTGTTGCGGACATGTGGATAAATCCGGTATGGTGGTTTCGTTGGTGATGATCAGCCATAATTATTATCTTAGCAGACCTCCAATCAGAGTATGCTTTCTTTTATCTCATATTATCTGCCATGGTGGTGTGGCCATGAGACATACAATCAAAGGAATGCATATGTTTGAGTAAACTTTTCTCCTGTTTGTCAATGGCAAATGCTTCGGCAGTGTAGCCCTCGTCGTGGCCATTTTCTGTTGTGGCGGTCCTCTTCACGGATATTGTTATTTTTTGAAATAGTGATGTAGTTGTCTTGTAGGCACATAGATAGACCATGAAGTAATACAGGGGAGCTTGACTGGTCAGAGTTAAGTACATCTGTTATTTTTAGATTGATGTGCTGGGAACTTATCCAAACTAGTCCTTTCAAGATTTAAGATGTATCTCATTAAGTATAACCTTTGTAAGTTCTAGGATTTCTGATGTATGCATTGTGCTTTCAGATGCATGGCAGTGCCGGTCTGGCACCATTGAGATTGAAGACGCATGATGATGCCGCCAGGTGCCGATGAGGGAAGCACCTCCTAGATCCGAGATTTGCAGGCACCAAGATGAAATGGCAAGCAAGGCGAGTTGGCCGGCCAGACGTGTTAATCGGTTCATTGTTTTTTCTTTTCTGGCGGAGTGCTGCTAATTTTTGACATGGGTGGTGATGTAGTGTTGTGTACATACATAAAATAAAATTCCTGGGTTGTTGCCTGCTGCTCTCTTTGTCAGCTGGCTGGTGGTGTTGCTCATAGTTTTGGGATGCTGGTGGTATTGAACTCCTCATGTCCTAGCTAAGCTAGTGCTGAAAGAAAATCAAATATCATTGTTTTATGTATGACTGCCATGCAATTAATTCTTCAGCGGAAGGTTTGGATAGCTGCTGCAAATTTGCAGTAACACATTGTGTGGCTGAATCTGTTTAGTGGGGACTTTGGAATTATGGGGTTTATCCGCAAGTGGTTGGCTCAATCAGAATCAGGATGAGCCGATGAGATGAGCCACTATATTTCAAACGGAGTGTGCATAATATTATTTAGATGACTCATGAACTACTCCCTCCGTCCCATAATGTAATATGTTTTTGACACTACAGTAGTGTCGAAAACCGTCTTGCATTATGAGACTGAGGGAGTAGTTACGTTTGAAAATCAACATGCATATCATATCAGATAGTGTGTGCTTGTATGAGCAAATATTGATGGAAGTAGGTTACTGTCTTGATGAAATAGTCTTGGTTATCATCTATGTCGAAACAATAAACACAAGGCTAAAATTTACGAGTTTTTTGGACACCGGCGGGTGGGAGATTAGCCGAAGAAATGAACAACCTTGTAAGTAAGAACCGAATTATTGGGAAAATCGCCTTAGTCATTGACCTTTATTTATTTATTTATTGTCTTTCATGTGCCTCTCATTTTATTTATTTAGTTATCATCAGTCTGTGGTATTGGGCTAGCAAGCAGAGTGCAGCCGCGAGGAGTGCCAACCAATCTAGGAGAAAGTCACCAGGAACAACGCGTACCAATCTAGGTAACAGGCACCGGGAAGAATTAATGCCAGCCAGCCGTGAGAAATCTGTGCCTCGTAATTCCTCTTTCAAGTAAAACAATGAATGCCCGCCTGTAGGGATGCCCAACAAGCAGGCAGACTGGCCTGGGCCAGCTCACCGATCCGCGGCATCGCGGCCTCCTCGTTCTCTTTCTTCCTCATGCCTTGTAGAGAGAGACGACCGACCATCTCTATAAATACTAGAGAGAGACATACATCCGCATGCGGGGTGCGCGTGCGACTTAGGACTTGGGACTTGGACGACGGCCGGCCGGCGAGAGGCGATGTTCTTCCTTTCCTAACACTTGTGAGGCGGTTCTCCTCCAAGCTCCTCACCCCATGCATCATTGGTGGTCGCCGGTGAGTGCTTTGTCGTTGTCCTAAGGAGCCATTCATGCCATGGTTGAATCTCTCACATCACAGTATGGGAGGAGAGATGTTGTACTAGACTGCAGTCTTTTGTAGCTCCCCGGACGGTGTCTTATCTTGGAAGAAGTCAGTGGTGGGAGGAGGTCGTCGGCGGATGGAAGGCCGGCGAGAGGCGATGTTCTCCTTTCCTTCTGCGGTGTGGTTGTCCTCCGAGCTCCTCACCCCATGCATCATTGCTCTCTCGCCGGTGAGTGCTCTCTTGAGCCAAGGAACCATGTGATGGTTGAGTCTTGTCTTGGAAGAAGTCAGTGGTGGAAGATATATGCCGCCTGATGGGAGGTCGTCGGCGGGCAGCAGCGGGCCGGGTAGATCGTACTCATAGGCTAGGTAGGTAGGTTAGATCAATGGGGCATAGTGCGAGGGCCATGGTCGTGGACATGTGCGAAGACTGGCGACGACGAGGTGGGGACATCGGCTGCCGCGTGGAATGCCCTCGGGCTCGACACCGATGCTGGCGTGGCACCCGTCAGGTGGTCGTTCGAGTAAAATGTCATATGTATATCAGTAAGTGTAAGTATATATGCAATCATGAAAATAGATGCAACATAATACTAAAGTGCCTGCATACGTGCATGGTGTGTATGAGCATATACGTAAGTGTGGAGTAATAATCTGCTTAATCAATGTAAATATATTGTCGATGAGAGTGGAAGTCTATGTAATAGGATCATAGCCTAGACAACAAAACAACTATGTAAGGACGATTTTTTCTAGGATGCTTTTCTTCCCATCTCTATCCTAGAAAGCATCATGAATACTAGAAACGCTTCTCAGGACCATGTGCATAGCGTCACAAATTCCATTTTTACAGGTACATAGTTTTAACCGAAGTCTTGTTTGTTTTTGGTGAATTCGAGAAACAAAAGTAAGGTCATAGACAAATGAACTTTCGTGAGTAAAAGTAAAACATGTGTTGTTCAGGAAACATATATACTTAGGAGCAATATGTTGCGGTTTGTTTTCGCATGTTACAAATCTAGTAGATGAGAGACTGGCGTTGTTGGTAGGGGATGCTAATGCATATGATATGGCTTGGCGTGTTCACAAGTAATCCTGTAAAATACAAGCATTGAGTATGCTCCATACTTCAGCTATATTACTTTCAACAATCGTTGTGATGTTTACGTAAAAGAAAAAAAAATAAGCCAATCACTACAGCACAACTACAAAAAGCTGGTGCGTTACATTTTTTCTTATAAATGTCAACTTTGATCTTGCACTTGTCTAAACGATTGTAGCCATGTAAACATAATTTTCTTTGTTACCATTCTTTTCTGGTTGGTTGAAAATTTAAAAAGAAGTGACTTGAAGGAGCCAGGAGCAGATGATGAACTATTCTCTTAATGAACAAATATTATGGATTATGTGTATATATAGTAACATCTAGTTCCAATATGTTTACGCCTTAATTTGTTTGCATCTTTCGTATGTTTGTTTGATTTGATTCAACTGTGCCTGCACATACTTCCAGAAGAGGTATTTGTTCCTGCTAATTAATCCACTAAAAGTTTCAAAGGTTCCTGCTATTTCTCCTCCAGAGGTATCCAGCTATGGAGGCGTCGGTAAACGGATAAGGCAGATGGTACAAACAACTACAATGATGAGCTTATGCACTCCGATGAAAACACAAGATCTCTGATCGGGCTATGTCGTCGTGCGCCTGCGTCATGTCCTTGCTGAAGGTGGTGGATTGAAGCTTTGCTTTGGGGACGAGAATCCAAAGTTAAACCTTATGATAGACTCACCATCATCGGCGCACGTGCGTCGATTCCTTCTTGAATGGGTAGCCTCGGAGTTGTGTATTTTCCGTTTATGTTGTGTCTTGTATCATAGGGTTAGTGGTTATCTGGAGGAGTTATTATCGCGAGGTACAGGGCCTCAGGGTTTGTTTTTCTCTTCTTTTTTCCGGGTCGATGGTGTTCGGCTGCTGGATGTTGCTCTGTTAATAACATAAGATTGCATGCATCGTCCTAGTGCAGAGGCCGGGGGTTATCCTCCGCTTTCAAAAAAATAAAATATAAATTATGTGAACTATATGATACCCCACATATTCTTTTCTTTTCTTTTTTGCGAAATGATACCCCACACATTCTTGCTGGTATACATGTGTACATATATCTATAGAATTAATAAATTTACCCTTTATCGAAGAAAAAATTGTTAACTCAAGTTTAGTACAATGATATTCTTTACCGGCCTACTTGGACCTAAATGAGTCCACAAATATTTTTTCTAGCATAACTTTAGTTTTTATTGTTTTGACGTAGTAGGAATGTTGCTTTCAATATATTATGCTTTAAAGGAAAACAACAACATGGAATTTGTAGCTTTTTTCTTACGCGGAGAAAATACAAACCGAACTTGCTGCTCATCGAGGACTAGCAAACTGAGACCGTGTTACATCCACTGATGGTATACGTCACAAACAAACTTACATTGATTGACACTTACATATAAGCATATTATCCCCTCCCGTCATGCATATCAAAATGGCGAACACTTACATATCAAAACGCGGAGGGAGTACATAACTTTGCCGAGATTGGCATCTTCGCTTAGTCTCATTCTTATTTTATCAACTACTTACTCTGCCGTGAAGGCGAGCAAGTAGTAACGACTATGCTGACACACTAACACTGCTGAGAAGTCGAAAGCGGATTGCTCGGTTTACGGTGAAAATTTTCCCTTTTAATCCGAGCACCATGTTGCACTTAGACGTCCGACCAGAGGACGGGAACCTCGCCGATGCTGGTGTCAATCCCCAAGGCCTTCCACACAGCGGCCGCTGTACTGATTCCGTTATCTCCGTAGCCGTCCCCGCAGTCATCCACGACCATGGTTTGCACGGAGATCCCGATCAATCTCTTGATGCTGATCATCTTGCCGCACAGGAGGCCAGGCCCGTACCACTTTGAAGCCATCGACACTAGGAAGAGGTCGTCGCTGTGGTACTGGCCGTCGCAGCTCGTTGGCCCTTCCTCCTCTCCATTCTGGAAGCCGTTTACCAACATCACCACCGGGAGGTCGCGGACCTGACTGGCGGTGCATGACACCTGCAGTAAAACAAGAATGCCAATGTAAGACAATAGGTTTTAGGGGGAACCGGCACAACCCTCTAGGGGTGGCCTATCACATATATATATAATGAGGTGGTATACAACGTTACAGTATACACATGTAAATACAGAAACTATACAGTCTAACATCCTCCCTCAATCTTAGCCACTTCCTAAAGAATCTAGAAGGGTAAGATTGTGCCTGCAAGTGTCAAACTGTGGTAAAGGCAATGGCTTGGTGAAGATGTCAGCAAGTTGATCCTTGGAAGAAATAAACTTGATCTGTAGTTGCTTCTGAGAGACACGTTCACGCACAAAGTGATAGTCAACTTCAATGTGTTTCGTTCGGGCATGGAATACCGGATTTGCAGAAAGGTATGTAGCACCAATGTTATCACACCAAAGAACAGGAGGCTGTGATTGGGATATGCCCAATTCTCAAAGCAAGGACTGTACCCAGATAATCTCCAAAGTGGCATTGGCCACAACCTTATACTCAGCCTCAGTACTGCTACGCGAGACAGTAGCCTGTTTCCGAGCACTCCAGGCAATCAGGTTAGAGCCAAAGAATACAGCATAACCCCCCGTGGATCGTCTGTCATCTGGATTGCCAGCCCAGTCTGCATCAGAATATGCTGAAAGACAACCAGAGTCAGACGGCCGAATATGCAATCCATGAGCCACCGTGAAACGAATATAGCGCAAAATACGCTTAA